GCTTGACCAGGGGCCAGTCCTCAAGGACCCTTTGAAGAGTTCTGATGGTTTCATCCAGCTTCACTCTGTCTGGGGTGTGGACTTGTTGTAGTCACTTTGTGTGCATTTCTGCGATGCCTGGAGCGAATTCCATGACAGAAACCTACACTCCACTCAGCTAATAAAAGCAGCTTGAGATTCCATTGTCCCCAATTTTTTTGTGCAGTGACAGAAGTGCTCACTGTAGAGATGTGTCACAATCCAGCGCTGTGTCATATGGTCAGGTGTCCACACCTCTTGGCCACCACTATCCACAATCTCTGTAAAGATTAAAAAAACATTTTTACATAAAACTTTTATAGGTTCATTAACTTTGAGCTGCTGTGTCCACAGGTCTTCACAAACATACTGGTGACCCACCAGCTTCCCTCAAGACACATTAGTTGTCCCATGTGACATGAGAATGGAGGGAACCATGTAATTAGTGACTTGCACTCACAGCTGACCTCGGTCATGCTGCATTCCAGTCAGGAAAGAATAGTGAAAACTGTTCATGCTAAATACCCCCTCATGTCACCCACAGATTAAAGCTGCCTATCTAATCAAACTCTCTAACAGACTCTGTGGTTGTCAGTGAATTCTAAATATTGTGATGGCCAGTACAGTAAACTTTCTCTCAAACCTCATTGGAAGGAAACATATAAGTTGTTTCAGCAGCAAAGGCAGCAGATAAACTCCATGGTGTTCATTTTTGTGTTTAGTTTCACATCCAAAGAATCACACAAAATTCTCTTAAATTTGAAGTTTGGTTTATTAGGGCTCGTTAAACTTATGATACTCACAGATTTTGGGGAGCCTGGCATTTTTTGAAGCAGTCACCAGAGTGAAGGCCTTCCAAAACCTGATTAACTTGTGTGGAAAAATCCTAAGACATTGGATGAAGACCCCTCTCTAACTCTGTCATCACCACCAAACATCTTAATTTTCATCATCGTATGCTTAGTTAAAATCATTCTTTTCATTTTCTGTAGACATGGTGGATCTCCATGCAAGTGATCATTTATCTCATTTTTGCTCCCTTTTTATGGTTGATAAGTGAAATACATAGTCAAACTCACTTTTATTTTATACTTGACTACTGGCACCTGATGGATCATTTTTGCCACTTCTCCATCTGTCCATATAGGAAATCTTCGAAGAAAGACCAGGTCTCACCTTCAGATGTTATTGTCAAATGAAAGCACACAAACCCTGTGGGCAGAATCCCCTCACCACCATCTCAACAAAATAAACTCTTGAGCCAGTCGTTTTTCCTGGGTCTCTCAAAATGCGACTGGCTTGCAGAAGGGCCTCTCCCAATCCTCCCAGAGATGTCTCCTATGTGCATGATAAACATTCCTTACACTTCAGTGTGTGTGTGTCTGCCATCAGCCTGGACATCCACAGCAACCTGTTTTGTGTCTTGCTGTCCCTGTCATGGTATCTACTCTTGGTGTTGTGAACATGATGGTAAATCAATGATCATCACCACAAGGCGGGTGCACCTTCTGGCTTTAATTCCATTTGACTCTGGTGCCCATTGTCCAGCAGACAGGTGCACTGCTCTGGCTGCCTTGGACACTGAGCTGTGTGGGGCTGGGCTACAGTGTTGGGTCCAGCAAAAAGCCATCTTAGATTCAGCTGATGTGGGTGAAGAGAGTAGATGATTCATTGGAACTGGGCACCACAGTGTCTGAAAGAGTCTCTGTCTTTTGCTTATGTGAGAAATCAGTCTTTCTTTAACACAGACTAACTCAGAGACTTCAGAGTTGAGTTCAGAATGAGGAACCCAGAGAGATGTCTTGAGGGAAACTGTTACAGGAAGAGGAAATCACACAGGAAACCAACTCAAAACTCCCAATGAACCAGCTCCTGAGATGTTCTTTGTGTTTAGGGGATGTGAACAGTCCCTGGTGTTCCTAGCCCCTCCTGCAGGGAGGTTTCTGTTTGGGCTCATGCTGACGCCCCTTCTCTGTGTCTGTAGTACAGTGATAGATGATCATGTCCTCAGGCCTCAGGCTGCTCAGCTCCATGTAGGCTGAGCTTATGGACTTGTCTGCAGCCGCGGTAACCCTGTTTGGGAACTTTTGTGTGTGGTTATTGCCACCAGTATTAGAGGTAACACTTCCCTTCCACTCAAGCCCTTGTCCTGGGGCCTGTTGCACCCTGTGCCCCCAGAAGCTGGTGAAAGCATATCCAGAAGCCTTGAAGTGGAGGTTCACTGAATCCCTAGGCTTCCTCACCTCAGCCCCAGATGGCTTCAGATTCTCCTTGGAGAGGACCTCAATGGAAAGTAGGTAGCAGTGGGTGGAAATGGCCATTAACTGTTCCTCATTCCCTCCTCTACCCAGGGCTGGGGAGTACCTTATGTGTGGCCACTGCCACCAGGTAAAAGACTCTGCAGCTCCAGTCCGAGGTGAGGACTGTGCCTTCAGGAATCATGTAGGGGAGAATGTGGTTGTGAGTGTTGCTCTCAGGGCACTGACAGACCCATGTTTACCCTAGTCTACCTCTTCCTGTTTGAATATTCATTAGGCAGAAAGTTTCAAAGATGAAGATGACCCCACCTTAGAGAAGGAAGTGGGCACAAGGACCATGCTCAGTGGGAGCTGGAGACTCCATGTCTAGGCAGGGTTGCCATATATGTGTCCTTGGCAGGACGCTGGGCACTATGCTGACATAATTTCTCCCACTGAAGAACAATCCCCCCACAGGACATGCTCCTTACTGTGAGCCCACCTTTCAGTGACAGAGAGAGCACTTGGGTCAGTTCTGGCCTCATTACATGAATGTTTTATTTCTGGGTCAGTGTGTCTCCAAATGCTGTACCTACTGAGTTACTACAACCACCCTTGTTCTCAGCTCCTTGGAATTCAAAATATAAAGAAGGCTTGTAAATAATTTACTCTAGGTCTCATATCTTAATGAGTTTGGTATATTCTATGACAAAATAAGATAGTTAAAGGAAACTAATGTCTAGCTCTTTTTTCCGACGTTTTCATGGAAAGAGACAAAACCAGGGCCTCATAGTCAATGTCTCCCCAGCTCCTCTGCTTTTGTTACTCGGCAGCATCCCTGATCTTGTGTGTCCTGCGCGCCCCCTGCTGCCCATCCCACACCCTGCAGGAGTGGACCCTGTCTGGGCTCTCAATGTATTGACAATTCAGCATATCTTTTCTAGAATTGTAGTCAGTGCCCTGACTTCAGGATGCTCCCTCTAGGACACCTTGTGCTTTTACATCTCTGGGCACAAAGAACTAGCCTTATTCAACCCAGTGACCCAGCAGAGAGCCTCAAAACCTGGGGAATATTGGAAAATCGGAGCACCTGACCTGGAGTTACCAGATGCCCTGACTTGGCCAATATCACTGAGCCCAAAAGCTCTTGCAGAGTTTGGGAGTCTGCAATGTCCTCAGGTTCCCCTGGTTAAAGGTCTCCTCACTTTTTAATACTGTTCTCTCTGGGGATGAGGGGTTAAACATATAAACTTAGAAGGGAGACACATGTGTTCATGCCACAGTGCTGACCTGGAGCCTCTGGAGTCAGGGTCACCCTGCCACCACCTTCACCTCTGTCCACTGAATGGTTTTCACACTCTGACTGGCAGATTCCATGGGAATAAATGTGTGCATATGAAAGCCCCTGGTCTGCCATCAATGATTCCATTATCATAGGAACACCAAATGGGCAGGGTGTGGTCTCCCTTTGTTAAGGACTCCCCAGCCCTGCTCCCTCCTGTGTGATGATCATTAGTATTATCTCAGGGAGAGAGACACATGGCATGCGGGGCTGTGCTCTCAGAGGATGCCACCCCTTAGGACCTCTCACTCGGCAAGGAATTAAAGAACTCTGTGATGTCACAGACAGTGCTGGAACCTGGAACACTTGTTCTCCCTTGATTTTGATGCCAGAGTGTCATCTCTGTGATGATTGGACAAAGGAAAGGACACAGAATTTCATCTTTGACATCCACACACTTACACTTCCCTGAGCTCACTTTCATTGTGTATACATACGGGACAACTTAGGCCTTTCTTGGGAGTCACTAGAGTCCAAATTCCCAAAACCTGAACTGGCCCAAGATTCCCTGACGCTGCCTCCACAAACATCTCTCATTCAGAAAACAAGGAAGCTCCCATTGTGGCCCATGTGCAAATCACAGTAAATAGCAGGGATCCTTCCAAGAGCATCTTCCATGCCGCTTCCTTGCAGTGCATCTGGTCTCATGATACTTTTCCCTGGATTTCCGATGTGTCCCTGGCAGCATCAGTCCTGGTCTCTGTTCTGTGACTGTGAGTGAGGAGGCCAGGGGGATCATCACATTGTCACCTCCTCAGCCCTGTACAACCATCGCACTTCTTAGGGTTTGTGACACACTCAGGAAGTGGGTCATCACACTGAGCCTCTTTCACAGTAATACACATCTGTGTCTGAGGACACCAAAAGATTTACCTGCAGACAGGAGATGGTGACAGGGGTGGCCATGAGGATGGAATCTCATTCTGAGAAGCTGTGACCTCTATGAATTTTGCAATATTTGTGTTGATCCAGCCTATAAATTTCAGGCCCTGTCCTGGGGCCTCTCACACAGCATGACTTGTGGATGTGTCTCAAGAAACCTTGTATGTGACCTTCACTGAGACCCCATAACTCCTCTCCTCAGCCCTAGATGGCACTTGCTGCACCTGGGATTGGACATGAATGGAGCAGAGGCAGGAGTGGGTGGAAATTCCCTTTGACTTCCCCTTGACTTCCCCTGATTTTCTTCTCAACCTAAGAGCAAAGGAGCCTCATACCTGTAGCCACTGCCACCAGCTAGGTAGCTTCCCAACAGTAGCACATGGTGAGGGGCTGTGCCTTCAGGACTCTGTAGGGGAGGGTGTGGTTGAGGGTGATGCTCTCAGGGCACAGAGAGACCCACATTGAACCTAGTCTACCTCTTCTTTGCATAGTCATGAGGAAAAGTACTTCATCCCTGATCATCAGATTCCACCTGTAAAGGTGGAGGACACAGAGCACATAAACAATGGGAGGATAAGGGTTCAAGATTCAATCATTGTTATCTGATATGTGCCCCACTCTAAGCCCCAGAGCTCTGTGCACTCAGAGCTCCTCCCACAGAATAATGAGTCCCACAGAAGTTCCTCATTGAAAATGCCTTCAAGTTACACAGAGATCACATGGGCAGTTCCGGGCTTTAATACCTGTAGGTGTTATGTCTTGGATCAAGACCTCCAGCTACTCAACATCCAGATATAAATGAGCCATTGAAATACTCCCAATGACTGGGCTTTCTGGTCTTATTGAGTTTGGTGAATGCCCAGATAGAGATAGGTATCTAGTGTCAAACACTGCCCAAACATTTTAGATGTTTTGATGAACACAGGAAGACCCAGGCCCTTAGGGGAAATCCCTCTCCAGTTCCCTCTACACCTTCTCCTGAAACAGCTGCCCTGAGATCATAGGTCCTACATTCCACCTGCTGCCTAACACCTTCCCTGCAAGGGAGGGTCCTGTCTGGGCTGACAGGGCATGGATCTCTCCGTGTCTGGATCCCAGAAGTGAAAACTGAGCCCTGATTTCATAATGCTCCCTCAGCGACATCATGGGCTTAGATAAAGAAAGGTAAAGATAATTACACTTAGTAAATGCCAGTGACATTGCAGGAGCCCCGACCCTCGGCACTGTGCAGCTACCAGGGAGCCCCTTTGCTGGAGCTGCCTGATACACAGAGTCACCAACATCCCTGAGTCCAGAAGCTCTAGGTGGCTTTGAGGGGCAATGATGTCCTCAGGTTCTTCAGCTTGCAGTCTCCATATGAGTTTCCCTGCACATGGCCCTCATGCCAATGCACTTCAACTGGTCAGTAAATCACAGAGAAAAACAGACACACACACAGAAACACACAGGCACTCACAAACACTGAAATTTTTCATGGTAATGACCTCATCCCTCCCTTATCTCCAGTTCATAACACAGGGACATGATCCTGACATCCTAACAAATGAGGAGCCTACTGCGATGACAGAAATAGAGCAAACATGACTGATGTGAGGACTAGAGAGTGTACACCCTTGTGGTTTCCTGTTCGACAAGCACCAGGAACTCACAGATGCCATGGTGAGAACGTCCAGTATTTCCTGGGGAGTTCAGACCAAGGGTTCCCTTTCCAGGAATTGTAGCCAATACTGACCTAATTTTTAAGTGGAGGGTCTCTGTGACATAGAGCTTACAGGTCCCTCTTCTCAGAGCGCACTGCCTGAAGCCTCAAGGGAAGTGACACAGTGGACACTGGAGCAGTGTCTCCCCAGGTGCAGAAGCAGGTGCTGATGCAAGAATAGCAGAGGCAGGAAATGGTCTTGGCATGTCAGAGTCTGTGGACATTGACAGTGTAGGTTTCCAAGGCTTCCTCTGGTGTCCTGAACACCCCCTGCAGCCCAGTCTCTGTTTCCTGCAGGCAGGTTTGTGTCTGGGCTCTTGCTGTCTCTCACTCATTGTGCCTCTTGCACAATAATAGACAGCTGTGTCCTCAGTGCTCACGGAGCTCAGCTGCAGAGAGAACTGGTTCTTGGACGTGTCTCTGGAGATGGAGGCTCGGCTCTTGAAGGACGGGCTGTAGTAATTGCTTCCACTATAATATATGCCACCGATCCACTCCAGCCCCTTCCCTGGAGGCTGGCGGATCCAGCTCACGTAGTAATCAGTAGTGATGGAGTAACCAAAGACAGTGCATGTGAGGGAGAGTGTCTGCGAGGGTTTCAGTAGTCCTGGGCCCAACTCCTGCAGCTGAATCTGGGTCCAGACACCTGGAAACAAAATACATCAGCCCCTGTCAGTCACATGCAGTTGCAATTATCCAATACACCCGTGTCTGATTTCTACCACACTCACCCTGGGGGTCTGTCAGCAGGCACAGGAGGAGACTCATCAGCCTCATCTTCCACACACAGGTCTGCCTTCCCTAGAGACTCAGCCCTGTGTGAGTAGACAGCTGTGAGCCACCACAGACTAAGGGTGAATTTATCCTGTAGCTGAGGCAGAAATTTGCATGTGGCAGACTCTATTCTCATAAGTTATGAGAGACTGAGACCCCTGTTCTTCTGTGTCCTGAGTACATTTCTTCTCTTGGACTCAATGGCATATTTCAGATATAAGATAAGTGCAGAGTTATGTGTCAACTTTGAAACATGTCAATGCACAACCATTCTTTCAATGTTTAACAGTTAAAGCTGGACTGGATGAGGGATCACAAAATTTATTGTCAAAGATCTTTGAAGGGGATATTAAAACAGATTTACATTCACCCAAACATCTGTCCAAGTGCAAAGAAACATGAGGTACACACAATATTTCCAGATGTGATAATCATAATTTCATATGGAATGGGATTTGATGAACTTTTTAATGTAAAAATATTGCAAAGTACAGAAGTCTTTCTGTTGCCCTACCTGAAGCCCCTCTGTCTGCAGGTTTCAGAGCAAATGCAGCCTCTGTCTCAGTCCAGCACCAGGGAATGGGCTACACAGGTTTGAACCTGCATCCCAGAGTCCAACTCAGATCCTGCAGCTGACACAGGTGTTACACACGCTGTGTCCTTTCTTTCGTGTCAGTTCCCCCAAGCAGTGCATCCCTTCTCAAAAGTGAACCTCTCAGGAGGCCTACCAGGCTCCCGGACAACATGGGGCCCTGAAACCCTGCAATCCCCTCCAAAGACACACAGGCACTGACTCTGAGCCAGCAGGTGTCCTGAGATATGTGAGGAGGACAGGACCTGCTTCCTGTTCATAGAGGGTAAGTTTGGACGCTGCCATCCCCATGTTCACCCTGGAGCCTGGGGTTGGGACCCAGAAATTTTTGTCCTGGGAAGGGGACTGGGGGCTCATGATGGACCAAGTTGTCAGGTGGACGGACACCGAAGTGCAAGCCAGCTGTACCTTCTATTACATCACTTAAGTGAAATGAAACGCATGACAGGACTCAACAGCCTGGTAAATGCTTAAAACAAGGTTTGCTTTCCCAAGTATTGTACATCGTTCATGCACAGAAACCTTACACTTTAATGCCTGTCATCTAATAGTGCACAGAAAGGCCTGGGGCACATCTGACAGACTGAGGGCATCTAAGGTCCCACTGAGAGATTTCCTCAGGCGATAAATGTCTCGGGAGATTCCCTCTTTGTCAACAGGATCAGTGAAAGTGATGGGTTCAGCCACTTGAGACTGAAGTATCACCTGTGATGGAGATGGCTTCACTGTCTTACAGGGGTTAGAGGACCTATCAGCAATGCTGGGACCCACCCATTTTGACAAGCATAAAAAACAAGGGGATGGATGCCAAGGGAGAGAAGCTGTGCGAACACCTCCTCCAGCGAGCACTACTTCTGTGCCCAACTGTACACCTGTGTTCTGTAACCCACTCCTGCCCCCTCCTGAAACATGAAGGACTGAGCCCCTTTATGGTGCTCTGGCCCAGACCATGTGGCCTCTCCTGCCCCAGGGTACCTTGAGATAGGACATGACTTCACCCCTCACCTTTCCTTGCAATGCTGCCCAGAGATGCATTTCAGGTGCACACCTGGTTGTCTATAGGTTCCAATTTTCCAGGAGCTTTAGAGACTGAGACCTGGATAAGTGAACCTTTTGAAGGTCTTGTCATTTTTCTCACTCCTGTGACAGGTTAGCTGCTTAGAGGATGCTGCAAATTGAAAATTGATAGGGGAAAAAGTATCTCCTGAGAAGGGCAGGTCCATTCTGTGAAGCCCTGTGTGTGGTGAGTGTCATGGACAGTCGTGCTTCCCCACACTCATTGTGGTGACTCTGTAAGTCAGAGAGAGCTGGGCCCTAATGACATGCCACTCACATCACATCTCCCTCAAAGAGGCCCTGGGTCCTTGTCATGTCTTCACCCTCTCAGGATGTGAACCACCCACTGTGCTGGATCCCATGCCTCCACCTCACACAATGCTCTCAGCCCAAGGACCCCTGTAGCCCAGAGTCCTGGACTAGGCTCCCCTACTTTCCAGGATTCATTTTTCTAGAGACACACACAGAACAGTTACACTTATTCTGATAGTTTTGCTCCAAACAGTCAACAGGCTAATCTATTTTAAGTGTACACAGTGATGTTAAGTGCATTCAGAAATTGTGCAACCTGTCAACTTCCAAGTCCAGAATTTTTCACCCTCCCACACTGACTCAGTGCCCTTTAAATAACAGCTCCAGATCTCCATCCCGCCAGCCGAGTGACCCTTTCTGCACTCCACCTCCACGCACTTGACCCTCTGTCTCTCACAGATGTGGAAGCACTCAGCCACTGTGATACTGAGAGTGGCCTCTTCCCTAGGCATTCTGTCTCCAAGGCTCATCTGTGTTCTTGCATCTGCCCATGTTCTCTTCTTTTGAAGAGGGATCATTTTTTTTTTTTAATTCAAATAGAGCACATCTTACTATTGAGTTTCCAATAGTTGCTTTGAAACTAGAAATTTTGCTATTTTCCTGATCAGAGAGGAGGGGCTACAGCACAGGGGAGGCAGGCAACAAACTCAGGTGAAAGGAGTCAACAGGTGATCACCTTCAGGTCACACCTTCAGGTCACACCTGCAACAGCCTGGGCTTCCTAAGACAGGGGCACACATCCTGCACTGTGGTTCTGAGGAAATCAGAGATGGTCACAGAAAGGAGGTTGAGTGGAAATCATGGAGGAGGGTGACATGAGGGTCATGAAGGAGCCCCGATGTTAGTTCCAGTCCAAGGACTCAGGTCTGAGACCCTGGAGGAGCCTGTGTTCTGTGGGAGCTGGAGGCAGGACCAAAGCTGATGTGAATGTTCCAGTTCCAAAGCCCCCAGGCAGGTGGATCACATTGGTCCCCTGGAGGCCAGTGATGGTGAGGCAGGGCTTCATACATTAGGAAGGACAACATGCCTCACCCAGTTCACTCACAAAATAGGTAGAATACCCTCACAGAGCCCTGGCTGGTATGCCTCAGTGGACTCAGGACCAGCCTGCTAAAGAAAGGGTCATCGGTTTGATTTCCCCATCAGGCCACATGCCTGGGTTGTGGGCTATGTCCCTAGTACTTGGCATTCAAGAGACAATTGCTCATTGCTCAATGTCCAACAATGTGACAGAGAGGAAAGTGACTCACTGCCCCCAAACCAGACAGGCAACCTGATGGGGCAGATGGGGTGGGGTGATCATTTTCAGGTGGGGTGGTCTGTGCTGTGTGAGGAAGAGGGTGTGACTCAGGACATGGATTCAGAACTGCCAGCTCAGCGCTGCACTGGAGTGTGGGGGGTCATCCTCAGTCAGGGCTCAGTGAGAATGTCTGACATGTGTAGTTTGTCAGCCGGGAAGAGCAGACTGAACAATGGAAGGGGGCAATCAGGACCCAGCGGAGAAAGCAACCATATCTGCAAAGCCAGCTCATTCCTATTTTTCACAGCAGAGAGTATAAGGGATTCAAAACATACGAGGAAGCAGAGATGGCCTCAGAGGCCAAAAGGAGGGGAAGAAATCAATGACCCCAATGGGAAGTCCTCCCACAAACCCTCCAGGAACCAGTTTCTGAGCTGGATGTCACCCTTTAGTTGCATTGGTCCCCCTGTGTCTGGAACACCTCCTGGGTCCTGATCACCATTTAGTAACACAGATATCCCAGGTAACAGCTTTGAAAATTCTAACGTGACATTGGTTCACGTGATCTACCTTGTGGTCACTGAGTGCTTAGTTCTGTGCCAAGTTAAAACTTATGTAGGTTCTGATAGGCAAATTTGGGAAAACTTGCATGCTATCTCATTTATGACAGAATTGGTCATGTTCTCCCAGAGAAGGAGAGCCAGAAAATGCATATCCATCCTTATATTTATAAGGAATTGATGCTTACATTATGTTCAGTGAGACATCCCAAAATCCCATGAGCTAAGGTTGCAGGGAGCAGACCCAGGAGAGCTGCTGCCATAAATCAGCCTGGTCTGGAGGCTGCGCACCAGGGTGCCCGTGGCAGTAGAAGACCCCTGTCCCAGCCACAGCAAGCAGAACACAGGCGGGAAGGGTTTAATTTTGCTTTATTCAGTCTTTGTTTCAACAGTCCCTCACTGCAGTGGACGGTGTCCACCTGCATTGGGGAAATAATCAGCCTTTCTGAGCCACCAAGTCAAAAGAAACTTCCCCTGTAAACAGACTATGGACAAACCCAAGATTATATTTCAGAAAGCAGTCTGGGCAACTTGTGATTCAGGCAAACCCGCAAAACAAACAAAAAAAACACAAACAAACAAAAACAACCATCACAACACAGTTATTAATGAAACACGTTTCTTATTCTCAGGTCACATGTGCCTGCTAATGCAGTTAGGTAGAGGAGAGGCATCCACTTTAGACTCTGCATGGTGAGGGCTTTCTTAAGTATCTCCATGTTGAATGTCAAATAGAGAAGAAGATCCTGGATCAAGGATGAAGCAAAACCTACAAGTGTCCTCTTTCTCCAGAATCTATGGGACCTGGGGGTCACCAGGTGTCCTGAGCACCCGCGGCAGCTCAGCCCTCTTGTCTTGGTGGGAATACTTGAGTCAGGGCTCATGCTGTCTTCCCCACTGCATTTCTCACACAGTAATGCACGTCTGTGTCCTCCGCTCTCAGGCTCTTCAGTTGCAGGCACAGCCCGTTTGCAGTGTTGTCTGTAGAGATAGTGAATCAGTTCACCAACATGCATGAGATATCCCTGAAGAAATCCCAGACAATGAACATTTCTTTAGATGGACTCTACTACCTTGCTCAGGAGCAGCTGCGCATCACCATGTACTTCAGAATCTCCCCAATACATTAACCACCATAGCCAATGAAATGGACACCTCACCTGCTAGTATTAAGAAATCTCTCGACTCTCTAGCTAAAGTTGTCTTAGGTAGTCAATTTGCCTTAGACTGCTTACGCACAGACCCATCAGGAGTTTACCTGACCTTCAACCCCTATGGGGTTCTTACAATGGCACCTTAGCTCAGATGGAAACCATCATCTCCAAGATCACACTCTGTCTACCTGGGAAAAAAGAACATTGGATCACAGCACCCCTATGTTTGAGATTGGTTCATGAGTCTATTTTCATGGATACCACAAGGACTCAGGTCCAAAGAGGATACATTTTAATTTATGTTTAAGCACTCCTCTCTTTATAAAGTTTGTTTTTATTGTTTCAAAGAGTTCTATGACTTGTTTTTCTAATGAGAGTAAAGCAGTATATGCTTTGTAATGGCCTGTATAGTATACATCTACTTTTAACTCAAAAGATATTTCTTTCCAACAGGCTCCAGTTTTCCTTCCTTCAGAAGCTTCCAAGGACATCAATAGCTCCATAGATATGGAAGAAGAATCGAAGTGGGGAATTTTATCATGGAATGAAAATTTTACGCTGCTATTACTTTCTGTGCAATAAAAGTATTAGGATGTACTAACCACATTATGAAAACTCATATATCGATAGTTTTTGCAAGCATATAGCAAGTGCTACCAGTTCCAGTCACACTGTATAATAAACAACCTTGTCCACAGATGTGGGTGACAAAGATGGCACAATGGAAAAATTAACTGGGCACCAAACAGTTCTAGAATGATGACAGTGAAGGTCTATGTTGGGGCAAGCAAGGTACTGCCTGCAGATTTCCAGCCTCAGCCCATGATCTCTTTGTGCTTTTTGTCACTCTCACTTCCTATGATAAGCATAACTGCAGTGAGAGATGTTAATGGGCTTGAGATGAGAATATTTCAACTTCCTGGAGACTGGTACATGAATAGAATGGTTCTCCCTTATATCAGCTCTCAACTCTCAAATATTGGCTTTGGAAGTGTCAGGTGACCTAGCCTGCATTTGATTACATTTCATGGTGCCTTCTGATAAGGACCCTCTTCCTAGATCACATCTGGCAATTCCAGCTCAGTCCCCACATGGAGGAAGTATGAGCAAACTCTCTGGGCTCATTGAGGAAGGGAGTAAACCTTCCTCACTTTTTAATACTTTTACCTTTGGGGTTGAGGAATTTAACATATAAACTTGGGGGGTATGTATTCATACAACAGTGCTTACCTAGAGGCTCTGGAGTAAGGGTTCTCTTGCCACCATCTTGACTTCTGTCCACTGAACAGTTTTCACACTCCAACTGGCAGATTGTACAGAAATAAATTCATGCATATGGCAGCCCGTGGTCTATATTAAATGATTATACTGTTATAGGGCCATTGACTGGGGAGTATGTGGTCTCCCATTGTCAAGGACATCTCAGTCCTTCTCCCTCCTATGTGATGACCATTAGTACTAGCTCAGGAATAGGGGCGTGTGAATATGCGGTCTCAGGTGAGGAGACTCCTTAGTTTGTCACCCTGAATGAGGAAGGAAATACTGTTGTGATGTTGGAGACTGTGCTGGAACCTGGAACACCAGGCAGCCGTTGACTTTGTTGCCAGAATGCTATCTCTGTGATGATAGGCTAGAGACAAGTACATATAGTATCATCCTTGACTTTAATGTACATACATTTCCCCAAACATGCAGTTGTATTGTTCAGAAATAGGGATGTCATAGGCTCTCATGGGCAGTCACTGCAGTCCATTTCCCAAAACCTGACTCCAGCCAAGATTTCCAGGTGATGCCTCCATGAACATACCTCATTCAGAGGACAAGGAGGCCCCCAATGTGCCCCTTGCACAAGTCACAATAAAAAGCAGGGGTACTTCTGGGGGCAAGTTCCCTGCCTCTTCTATACTGTGCATCTTGTCTCCTGCAACATTTCCCCAGATCTTTCATGTGTCCATGGCAGCATTAGTCTCTGTCTCAGTTGTTTGACTGTGTGTGAGGTAGTCAGGAGGCCCATCACCCCACCATCTCCTCAGTCCAGTCCAACCATGCAACTTCTTATAAATTGTTACACACTCAGAATGAGGGTCATCACATTGAAGCATAATAAAAGGCATTCTCATAGGACATCAGACCATTAATCTTCAGATACACCACGGTGACAGGGCTGATCATTAAGATAAAATGTTGTTCAGAGACACCCTACACTATGTGGGGTGAACAGTGTTTGTGTTGGTACAGCCTATATATTTCAGGCTGTTTCTTGGGGCCTGTTGCACAGCATGACTAGTGGATGTGTATCCAGAAGCCTTGCAGGAGACCTTCCCTGAGCCCCCAGGTTTCCTTATCTCAACTCCAGGCTGCACTGACAGCACCTGGGAGTGGAGACAAGTGGAGAGAAGGCAGGTATGGGTGGAAATTCCTCATGAGTGCCTGCGGTGCCCTCCTCAACCCTTACCTGTAGCAAAGGAGCCCCTTACCTGTAGCCAATGCCACGTGGTAGAGAGCTATACAGCTCTAGTCCATTGTGAGAGGCTGTGCCCTCAGGACTTATATAGGGAAGGGCGTGGCTGTGAGTGATGCTCTCAGGGCACTTACAGACTCATAATTAAAGTAGTCTACCTCTTCTCATTTGTATTGTCATGATTAAAATTACTTGACATCTGAAAACTAACTCCATCAGGGGGAATGTAGAGGACTCAGGGACTATGATCAATGGAAGGCTAAGGGTTGAAGTGTGAATCGGTGTTATCTCATGAGCCCCTGCCAGTCCTTTCAGCTCTGTGCAGGGAAAGCTCCTCTCAAAGAAAAACGAGCCCTCACAGTGCAACGCATCTATGAGAATGCATTGTGAATGGCAGAACGACAACCAGGACCAATTTTTGCTTCAATAAATTTAGGTTTTATTTCCTGGGTCACGGTCTACAGCTCCTTAACATTCAGGAAAAAAAAAAAAAAGAAGAAGAAGAAGAAGAAGCTGCAGAAATATGCCCAATGACTCTGGTTCTCTTCTCTTATTTAGTTAGGTAACTGCTATGACAGTTACATATTTAGAGTTGCATCATGTCCAACCCTTATTTTAGATGTTTTCAAGAAAAGATGAAGATTCAGACCCTCAGAGGAAATACCACCCCGGGTCCCTCACCACCTGCTCCTGAATCACCTTCCCTGAGATCATGGGTCCTACATGCAACGTGCTGCCCAATACCTGCCCTGCAAGGGAGGGTCTTTCTGGACTGACAGGGTATGGACTTCTCAGTGTCTGTTGTCCAGAAGTAAAAGCTGAACCCTGATTTCAGGATGCTCCCTCAGGGACACCATGTGTTTAGACATTTCAGGATAAAGAGAATTGTCCTCAGTAAACCCCAGTGACTCTGCAGGGAGCATCGACCCTGGACACTGTGCAGCCATTAGGAAGCCCGTTCTCCAGAGCTGCCAGATCACTGACTAACTGACATCACTGAGACCACAGGTCTCATGATTGGTTTGGGGACACTGACATCCTGAGTTTCATCTACTTATGGATCCCATGTGAGTATGCCTGCATATAGCCCTCATTCCAATGCATTTCTACTGCTCAATAAATCACACACACACACACACACACACACACACACACACACACACACACACACACACACACATGCACTGAAAATTAACATGGTAATGATCCCAGATCCCCTTCTCATTTGTTCCTAGCATATGGGCAGGGTCTCGACTCTCATTTACAAAATTTAGGGACCTACTTTGATGACAGAAGATGACAGAACAAAAGCAAACATGATTGATGTGAAGACTGGTCACTGCCCACCATTGTGTTGTCTGATTGTCCAGCATCCGGAACCTGCAGAGGTCATGGTAAGCAGGGGCTGGATTGTCCTGGGGAGGTTCACACCCAGGGTGGCCTTTTCCATACTGTAGCCAATACTGAACAGATATTTTGGTAGAGGGTCTGCCTAACCAACAGTGTATAAGACTGCATTCTCAGAGTGCACAGCATGAAGCCTTCAGGATAGTAATGTGGTAGACACTGGAACAGTGTCTTCCCAGGAGCAGAAGCAGGTGCTGATGCAGGAATATGGATCCAGAAAATTGGTCCTGGATATCAGAGTCTGTGTAGAAGTAGCTGTGTAGTGTTCCACAGCTTCCTCTGCTGCCCTGATCACCCCCTGTAGCCCAGCCTCCCTGTTTCCTGCAGGGAGGTTTGTGTCTGGGCTTTTGCTGACTTCCCCTCAGTGTGTCTCTTGCGCAGTAATACACAGTTCGGTCCTCGGTGCTCATGGAGCTCAACTGCAGGGAGAACTGGTTTTTGGACGTGTCTCTGGAGATGGAGGTGTGACTCTTGAAGGACGGGCTGTAGTAAGTGCTTCCACCACTATTTATGCACCCGATCCACTCCAGTCCCTTGCCTTGGGCCTGGATGATCCAGGTCCAGCAGTAACCACTAGTGATGGAGTAACCAGAGACAGTGCAGGTGAGGGATAGGGTCTGCGAAGGTTTCACCAGTCCTGGGTCAGACTCCTGCAGCTGCACCTGGGACCAGCAACCTGGGAACACAGGTCACAAGTCCCTTTAGTCACATGCATTCACCATCATCACATTGATCCCTGTCTGAAATCTGAGACACTCACCGTGAGGGGCTGTCAGCAGGCACAGGAGGACACCCAGCAGTCTCATCTTCTACACATAGGTTTTCCTTTCCCAGAGACTCAGTCCTGTTTGAGGAGAGAACTGTGAGCCCACACAGCCCAGAGAATTACTTAACCTGGAGCCAAGACAGAAATTTGCATGTTGTGGACCCTATTCTCATAATGGGTGAAGACTGGAGCCACTGTCTTTCTGTGCCCTGAGCACATTTCTTCTTTTGAACTAGATGGCATAGTTCAAGTATGGGAGAGTAGTTGGGTTGTGGGTCCACTTTGAATCATGCCAATGGACAGCCCTTCTTTCTATGTTCAGCAATTATAACTAGACTGCATGAGGGAATCAAACAATTTTAAGTTCATAGGTTAGTCAATTACATATTAAAATAGACTAACATTATGCCTACACATCTTCCCAGGTCCAAGGAAACACATGATGTAGACACATCCTTTCCAGATTAGATAATATAATTTCATATAAAAATCTTACGTACATTCTCATGTAAAAATATTACAAAATAAAAAAAAAAATAACAGTCCTTCCCTTGCTCTGGCTGAGGCCCTTGTGAAGGAAAGTGGTAGTGTAGGTGCAGCCACTGTCCCAGTCCATATTCAGGGACAGGGACACACTGGTTAGGACCTGTTGTCCAAAGTTCAGCTCAGATCTGCAGCTGACACAGGCTTTAGACACAATGTGCCCTTCCTTTTATCTCCATTCCCCCAGGTGATTGCAGGCCCTTCCTACAGGTGAGTCACTCAAGAGGCTTCCTCAGTGCCTAGACCACATGTATTTCTAAGGCTGGGGGTTCCTTCTACAAAGACATGCAGGTTTTGACTCTGGGCCAGCACGTGGCCTGATATGTGCATAGATGATCACCCCTGTATCCTAGTCATAGATGGTCTGTTGGTGACCTGCCATCACTATCTTCACCTGAGACTTCAGGTAGCAATCTGGAGGCTGATGTCCTGGTAAAGGGAGTGGCAGATCATGAAGGCCAAGGTGATAGATGGAGAGAAACCAAAGTGCTGAGTATGTGTATCTTTCATTCTATCACTAAACTGATCTGGAACACATGATGGTATTTAACAGCCTGGCAAATATATAAAATAAAGTATCACACACCCTGCATCCATAGGAACTTCCCATTGCCATGCCCACTGTCTAATAGTGCACAGCTGACAGACTGATGACACCCATGGGCCAGATGTGAGATTGTCTCAGGATACACATGTCTCAGGAGACCCCCCTCCTTCGTTAACAACAGATCTGAGAGTGAGGTGTTGGGACAACCACATGGGACAGAGCTCATGTATGTGACAGGGATGTCCCCAGGCTCCTGCAGGTACTTTTGGGCACCAGTGCAGAGCCCTGAGCACAAGCCAACTGTGAACAGCATGAAGAAAAATGAGGTGAATTCCTAAGGAGGGAAGCAGTAAGAACAACTTTTCCAGGGAGAAGCACACCCTTGCTCCAGGTGACAACTGTGCTCTGTCATCCATTTCTGCCCCTGCCTCTAATACGGTGGAGGGGACCTCAGCCCCATCAATGTCCCTGGCCAGCCGAGTGATTTGTGTGGTCTCCTGACCCAGAGGGACATCATCCTGGGCATGACATTCCCTCTCTCACATGTCCCTGTGAAGCTACAGAGAGATGCATTTCAGGTGAGCACCTGGATGTCTCCATGTCCCAGTTCTCAAGGAGCTTTACAGACCATTTCCCCAGAGAAGTGGAATCTGTTGATGGTCTTGTCATATTTCTCATGCCCATGCCAGGTGAGAGTAGAAGGAAATGTTAGTTACCTGCCTGGTGGACACTGAAGAGTGAAAATTCATGGAGACTAAGTGTTTCCAGAGAAGGGAGGATGCATCCTGTGCAGCATCGCCCTGTGTGTGGTGACTGTCATGGTCAATCATGAGTTCCCACTGTGATCCTGCTGACACCATGGGACAGAGTGTGCTGGGTCCTGACTACATGCCACCCATATCACATCTCCTTTGAAGAGACACCTAGACACATGTAATGCCCTGTGCCATCTAAGGACTTGAGTTGCCCACTGTCCTTGTCCCAACGCCTCTACCTCTCACCCTCTTCTCAGCACAGGGACACGCATGGCCAAGGATCCTGGACAAGGCTCCATCTGTTCTCAGCCTCCATTTCCCTGCAAAAACCCAGGGGAAAGTCTCACCCTTTCTGAGGTTCTTGCCCATAAGTGAGCTCTTCAGAACGACATTCCATGACACCCCTGCCTGCAGCCCTGACTCCTGACCCTGCAGGGTGGGAGTCAGGGCTGCAGGCAAGGGTCAGGAGTGGGAATGACTCCATTCCCACCCTGCAGGGTCAGGAGTCCCCACCTCCCCTTGGACACCTGTGCACACTTCTCATTAGAGCTGGTGTGATGTCTCTGATATCACATATAGTAACTAACATTCACCGTGAGAATCCATTTTCAATGGACACTGTGACATTAAGTCCATCCACACCATTGGGCGACCGTCATCACCATCCAGATCCAGAAATTCTCTCTTTCTCACACTGACTCAGTGCCATTGAATAGGAACTCCCACTTCTTGCCCCCACCCGAGATACAACATTCTGCATCCATCCACACACCCTTTAACAGTCCAGGTTCTCACAGACGTGGACACACACAGCCACTGTGATCTTGAGAGTGACTAAGTTCTCTGGGCCATGTGTCTCCAAGGCTCATCGGTGTTCTTGAAACTGTCCATTTTTTTTTCCTTTTTCAGGGGGATGACCTTTTGTGTTGAGGATGGAGCAAGACTTACTATTCAGTGTCCTATTCCTTGTCTCTGGTTGTCAGAAGACTTCAATTGCCTCTAAACAGGTGTTTTTGATTTTTTCCTGTTCAGGAACAGGTGACATCATGCAGGGAATGAAGACAATACACTCAGGTGAAAGGACTCAACACGTGATCACCTGATATGGACAGGAAGCACCTGTGACTAGAGGGTGTGCTGAGTTGCAACAAACGGTAATAATTTCCCTAGTGAGCACAGGGTGCTCTGTCATGGTCTCCTGTCCACCCTGGAAGCAGAAGGATGAGAGAGACCAGAGGGAGGGGCACAGCCTGTGGGACAAGGGCAGGGCTGATAGGGCCCTTCATCTGACAGGAACCGGCTTCACCTCCTGGTGACACCTGACTCAGCCTGGAGTCCCTGGAACATGAGCACAAATTCTGCCCCTGAACTGTATCTCTGAGGAAACAAGAGATTGTGACAGAAAGAAGGTTCATGCGAAATCAAGAAGGAGGGGGGCATGAGGTTTACAGAAGTGTCCCAACATTTATCCAAGTCCAAGGTCACAACCATGAGGTGCAGAAGGAGCCAATGTGTCCCTGGCGCTGGAGGCAGGACCAAAGCTCATGTAGATGATTCAGTTCCAAGATCCTCAGGCAAGAAGGTCACATTGGTCCCCTGCAGGCCAGAAATGGTCAGACAGAGCCCCACATGTTAGCAAAAGCAACCAGCCTCACCCAGTTCACTGATATAAAATACCCTCACAGAGCCCTGGCAAGTGTGGCTCAGTGGATTGAGTGCAGGCTTGTAAATGAAAAAGTAACCTGTTCAATTCTCAAAACAGGGTGCATCTCAGGGGTGCAGGCCATGTCCCCAGTAGGGGGCATGCAAGGGGCATTAATGCATTGCTGAATATCTGACCATGCGACGGAGTGGAAAGTGGTTCACTGCTCACAAAGCAGACAGGGATCCCAACAAAGTAGACAGCGTGGGGCTGATCACTCTCCGGTGTAGTGGGCTGCGCTGTGTGAGGAAGAGGGTGTGACTCAGCACATTGATTCAGAACTGTCGGCTCAGTGCTGCATTGGAGTTTGGGGGGGGTCATCCTCAGTCAGGACTCAGTGAGAATTCCTAATATGTTTTTGTTGTCAGCCAGGATGAGAAGAAAATATAGAGATAGCGGGACAATTAGGACCCAGAGGAGAAAACAATGGTATCTGTAATCCCAGTTTCTGCCTACTTTTTTTGCAGCAGGGAGTGTAAGGTACTAGAGACACTTAAAAGGAAGAAGGAATCGCCCAGGGGACAAAAGGAAGGGAATAAATCAATGACCCCAAAAGACAGCACTTCCATAAACCCTCTAGGATCCAGGATCTGGTGTCTTGATTACCCTGTGATGGCACTGATGTCCCTGGTGCTCATGAATGACCCTGAGTGGCTCTGATGTCCCCTGATGCCCTGAACAGCCCTGTAGCTCAGCTGTCCTGTATCCCTCAGGGAGGCCTCTGACTGCAGGGCAGGGGAGCCAGGCTCCCTCAGTATCCAAGGAGTTTCCTGCAGAAAAGCATTGTAGCCCTGGCTGGTGAAGCTCACATTGACATGTAACTGAAAGGTCACCTGTCAAGGCACATGCCTGGGTTTATGCCCAGGTTCTAATTGGGGGTGAGGGAGAGGAAACTGCTCCAATGAGGAGGTTTCCCTCCCTCTCTCCCTCCCTTCCTCTTCCTGAAAAAGTAAAATCTTTAAAAAATATTTTTCTATAACATAATATAAAATTAATGAAACTATTATTTTCATATTAATGTTTAAAATTACCTATTTACTCCATGAAATATAGGCAAGTCCTATACAATTTAAAAGCCAAATATTCCCACAAATGCATGGTCCAGGGGAAACCATGAGGCAGAGGCATGGATGGAAGACATTAGATGTAGTTTGGACAGTGACTGTGCACGTGCTTATTCATCTCCTGCCATTATTGGTCAAGTGTGGGCATGAAGGAAGAGTGAGGAAGTCCCAGGCTCATGAAGCTCGGAATCTGGGTCAACTTTAGGGAGAATTAGGCCAGTAAATGACAGTGGATGTGTTAAGGTGCATTTCCACTACCCTCTAGTAAATGAGGGGCCAGAGGGTAACGAGTAGCAGAGAAGACAGAGAGCTGGGGGCAAACGTCTGGGAGAAGGTCTTGAATCCTGCCTGTGAGAGAGAAGAAGATGTGTGAGGACATTGTGTGCATGTTGGGGCCAGAGTCTGAGCTCAGCACACAGGGGTCTGGAT